GTATATGGGAACTTGTACCAAAATTAAGAGCACTGTCCCACAACTGAATCATACCGTAAGCAGTGTCTCACATACCATCCTTTAGTGTAAAATATCCTCGTGGCAGTATAGTGAAATACAGCCAGGAGGGAGCTGCCTGAGGAAACCTCCATGTTTTTGTTAACATGTCAAACACATGACGTAATGATTTACCACCAATCTCCCCTGCCCCCTGCTTGATGTTGACCACCAATACTCGGTGAAGGACTGCAGTGTCCATCACCAAGAAGTGACAAATAACATTTCCCTACACAAGTTCCAGACAATGACTATATCCATCAAGAGAGAATCTCACTATTTCCCCATGACATTTAGTGGCATTACCAGCGCTGATATCCTATTATCACCATCCTGTGGATTATTGTTGACCAGAACCTAAACTGCCATATAAGTATTCTGTGGTTAGAAGAGCAGGTCAAAAGATAGGAATTCTGTGGACAGTAACTTACTGCCTGTCCACCATCCATAAAGCAAAAGCTAGGAGAGTTATAGAATATTTCCACTTGCCTGGATGGATGCAGATCTGGTAACAGTTAAGCTTGATATCATCCAGGAGAAAGCTGTTGACTTGATTGATGTATCCAACTTAACCATTCACTCCTTCTACCATCGATGCACAGTTACAATAGTGTGCATCATCTACAAAATGCAGTGTAGGTATTCAATAAGGCTTCTTCAAGAACACCTTGCAAATCTTGAACCCTTACAATCTGGAAGGACTGGGACAGCAGATGGAAAGGAATATCACCAGCTGCAAGTTACCCTCCAAACCCCACATCCCATCCTTGTCTTGGAACTTCCTCATTGTTGCTGGCTTAAAATCCTGGAATTCCCTTCCTTACAGACTGTGGGTGTACCTAGCGCATATTGACTGCGGCAATTCAGGAAGGTGGGCCAATAAGCATCCTTTCAAAGGCAGCTGGGGCTGGGAAACAAATGATATCCTATCTAGTGACATCCCACATTCTATGGAATAATTTAAAAAATACTCCTTTACATATCAAAGTTAAAGGATTAAGTTTTTCAGATTTGTTGAAATCAAGTTTACATTGTAAATCTACAGCTGTAATATGGATACCTTTTAGTACTCCCAGGTTTCAATAGGCATTAAAATGCATATGCTTTTACATAACAGGTGAATATTTCAGAGTGTTATCTTTTAATTCTTTTTAGCCTTGTCTGAGGATGTGTAAGTGGATTGTTGTTTTATGATGGTCTAAATTTCTATTGAACTGAAGAACATCCAGTAAGAGAAATATGTCTTTGAAGGAAAATAATACAGAAAATACTGTATGAAACTGGCAATTTAAAATCAGTTATTTCATGTTTGCGACACACCTTAATTGTCGTGACCCTGAAATACAATAAAGTGTATTCCAGTTTAGTCCTTGGTTGTGTGCACCAAGAACGGTTTACTGCTCACCCTGGAAGACTTAATTGAATAAAGATTCTTTTGATTTGCATACATGTAGGGTGAGAGGGCTTAGTGCGAAGTTTCCAGAAAATCTCTGCACCTTCACCAAATCAGTGCAGAAACATGACCAACTTGCCCTTATTACTGCTGGCCCATCCTACCTGTTTCATTGGTAGCCATGTGGGGAATGTGCTTCCCACCCACAAAAACATACTTCAAAAAAACAAGTTTACTCTGAGGCTGGAACCCAACATGTCTGAGTGCGGGCCTTCTTTCCATCCATTTTGAATGCAGAGGTTATTGCATTATGATAGATTTGTTCCTGAAGTTTTGGAATCTGTGTTTTAAAGTATTATCGGGTGAAATGATGTGGTTTTATGTGAAATATATGAACTATTTTCCTGATATATTCAAGCATTGATGTTGATGCTCATTTTTGCATGGTTGTTTCAAAGGTAGTTTTGTAATGTTACAGTGTACAGATTCAAGTCCAAGGAATGTGGATGGTTTATTTAGTGTGATAACAAAATATGCTACCCACAGTGTTTTTTAATTAGCTATGTGCAGCTTTTAAGTTCATGATAAGGCCTGTTTATTGTGATTTAGTTTATCTAAACGGCTGATCCATGCAGAACACAGTGGTCTCAAGTTCAACTTCTGTTTTGTGCTGTGTTAGCTATTCTTTGTTAGTGATGCTGGAATGGAGTCTCTTGAATTAAGGTTGAGGAAAATCAGCCATGATTAACATCACTATCCAGGATTGCCTGGATGTTAGATGAGGACAACAGTAAATGTGGCTCTGCTGTTATATTTTATTTTCTGTAACACTTGAACTGTTAAGAGTGTTCAAAATCAAACACAATAAATAATGTTGGTGAAGGTGCAGGATTTTAAAATTCTTGAACTAATTTTATTGAATTGATTTCAAAATCATAAGGATAGGAACTATTGCACTGATAGCTGATGGTTGGTCAAAAAAACTTCATGACAGACTTGGCATTGAGAAACAAAAATTGGAAACCGATTTTTTTAAAATTCGCTTGCGTCCTAATTTCACCGTAACCCCACAGAAACTGAATCCTCCAAATTCCAGATAACAAGGCCCAAAACGTCAGCCTTCCTGCTCCTCTGCTGCTTGGCCTGCTGTGTTCATCCAGCTCTACACCTTGTTATCTCAGATTCTCCAGCATCTGCAGTTCCTACTATCTCCAAGATATTTATCACTTTGCTTTTAGTGAAGTGCAACTTTCTGATGTGCCACTGTGATGTGGTTCCCTGGGTGAAACACTGCTACCAGCATAATATAGTCTCAGTGATGCCACACTATATGTTAGCTCATGTGACATATACATCACACAGATTGGGTTCTTGTTGAGACAGATATCTTAAAGTTTGTTCACAACATTGACAGTTATACATCATCTGGGATCCTAGCATACTGATTGTGTACATAATTGAATAAGTGAACGAACTACTCTTACTCCACTACAATGGAAGATAACTGAATAGGAGGCTGGTACTTTTGTATCATGATGTCATGTAACTGTCCTAAAGATAAACTGCCTGTCATGTTTGTAATCTGTGCAATAGTACACTTAGTGATTGTGCACAAACTGATAAATTGGTGACTTTCAAGCGAAGTTGTGCATAAAGTTGTATAATTGAATGTTGTTAGCTATTAAATATGTGTACTTCCTGTCTGTTTTCTTTCTTACATATTACGCAACACTGAAGTATGGAAACTCTGGAGGGCCTTTGGTGAACTTGGTAAGCCCAATTACATGTCATTTCAGTTTCTTTCATGACTTAACTAAAATGTTTAGAAACGTAGAAGATAGGAGCAGGACAAGGCCATTCGGCCCTTCAAGCCTGCTCTGCCATGCATCACGATCATGGCTGATCATCCAACTCAATAACCTAATCCTGCTTTCTCCCATAACCTTTGATTCCATTCACTCCAAGTGTTATATCTCGTCGCCTCTTGAATACATTCAATGTTTTGACATCAACTACTTCCTGTGGTAATGAATTCCACAGGCTCACCATTCTTTAGGTGAAGAAATGCCTCCTCATTTCCATCCTAAATGGTCTACCCTGAATCCTCAGACTGTGACCCCTGGTTCTGGACACACCCACCATCGGGAACATCCTCCCTACATCTACCCTGTCCAGTCCTGTTAGAATTTTATAAGTCTCTATGAGATTCCCGCCCTCATTCGTATGAACTCTAGCTAAAACAATCCCAACCTAGTCAGGCTCTCTTCGTACATCAGTCCCATCATCCCCAGAATCAGCCTGGTAAACCTTCACTGCACTCTCTCGAGAACATGAGCATCCTTCTTCAGAAAAGGAGACCAAAACTGCACTCAATATTTCAGGTGTGGTCTCACCAAGGCTCTGTACAACTGCAACAACACATCCCTGCTCCTATACTTGAAACCTATCGCAATGAAGGCCAACATACCATTTGCCTTCTTTACCGCCTGCTGCGCCTGCATGCTTACTTTCAGCAACGTGGATCTGCTGCACACTCTCCCAATTTGCAAAACATACCCATGGTATAGCTTTATTGTATCATGTTTTGAGTATTTCTTCAGCTCTTCTGAACAGAATAGACACTAACATCTGGATGTTGTTAAAGAGTTAAGATTTAGCATGGTTTTATCTGTTGAAAAAAAAGCTTATGCTATGCAAAACTTCAAAGCACATATCAACTTCCGAATCTAACAGTGGCAAATACAATCAATGCTTTTTGGAATAAACCCTGGAGTTTATTTTTTTTAAACTTCTTTTAAAACATTATCATTCTACAGGATGGGGAGGTTATAGGAATAAATACACTGAAAGTCACCGCAGGCATTTCCTTTGCAATTCCATCAGATCGCATTGCAACGTTTCTTACTGACTCTCGCAATAAACACACCAAAGGTAAGAATGTTAAGTGCATCAGCTAAACTGGTTCATTTTCTAAGGTGGCACGTGCAACTGTAAGAAAACATAGTCTTGATCACCACAAGAATAACAAACAAATAGCAGCCACTTCTGCTATAATGTGTGAAACCTAACAGCCTAGGCTATAGCAGGAAGCAATTGTTTTGAATGAAAATGTGGGGAAAGGCTCAGGGCATTCTGCTATTCAAAGATTGGATATAAAATTGGAAGTAGTTCTTGAAATCTGGTCAAATATGCAAAATCATAAGTATCCATTTTGTAAAGGTGGTGTGCTCTGAAGTGGTGTGGTCTGAAAATATGATTTTTTCTTTTGTAACATCACCCACAATCTGACATGTATTCCTGTAAACATGAAGCAGGAATATGAAAGGGGGAAAAAATGTGTAAATTTAAGAAATGGTCTGAAAATTGATTGCCTGCCTCAGACATTTGGAAAGGCAACACAAAGCAAATCACGCACACAAAATCTTTAAATCATCTATGTCAACATTGTATTCAATCAGTTGTATTTTAAGGATGTGCTGAGGTGGCATTTTAAAATCTCAATCAGTTACAGGAAGATCCATGCAACCATATTGTTCCTTACTCGATGAAGGACATGTCTCAGTAATGGCAGATATTTGTATTTTTAGTTTATATGTACCCAGATGTAAAAATGTTCAGTCCTTACGTATAAGTTTAAAAAGTTAATAAGACTGTAAGAAATAGGAACAGATGTAGGCCATTCAGCCCCTTGAGTCTGCTGTGCCATTCAATAGGATCATGGCTGATCAGATATTCCTCGCCCCCACTTTCCTGCATTTTCCCCATAGACCTCGATTCCCTTTCAGATCAAGGATCTATCTATCTCAGCCATAGATATACATAAGGACTCTGCCCCTATGGTTTTCTGTAACAAGGAGTTCCAAAAACTCTCAGCCCTCAGAGAAGAAATTCCTCCTCATCTCAGATTTAAATTGGCACCCCTTTACTCTGAGACTATGCCCTCTGGCCCTAGATTCTCCCATGAGGGGAAACATGGTCTCAGCATTTATCCTGTCAGCCCCTTAAGAATCCTATATGTTTCAATTAGATCATATTTCATTCTTCTAAACTCTAGTGAGTAGAGCCCATATCTACTTAATTTTTGCTCATAAGAGTATCGCTGCATTACAGGGATCATCCTAGTGAGCCTTCTCTGAATTGTCTCCAATGAAATGATATCTTACCTTAAACAGGGAGACCCAAACTGCTCTTAGTACTCCAAATGTAGTCTTATCAGCACCTTGTACAGTTCCAGTAAGACTTCCCCACTCTGATACTCTAACTGCCTTGAAATAAAGGCCAACATTCCATTAGTCTTCCTGATTACTTTTTGTGCTGGCTTTCAGTTACACGTTCTGGTACAAATGTATCTGCTCTTGAAAAGAAACACCTGGAAATGTTACTGTGGCGATAAATCAATTCTGATATCCCTCTCATGCAGCATTAGATAATTTATAGGTATCATAGAAACCCTACAGTGTGGAAACAGGCCATTCAACCCAACAAGTCTACACCAACTCGCCAAAGAGCATCCCACCCAGACTCACCCCTCTAACATATGGCTAATCCAGTTGACCTACACATCCCTTGACACTGTGTGGGCAATTTAGTATGGCCATCCACCTAACCTGCACATCTTTGGACTGTGGCAGGAAACCAGGGCACTGGAAGGAAACCCACGCAGACGCGGGGAGAATGTGCAAACACCACACAGGCAGTTGCCCGATGCTGGAATTAAGCCTGGGTGCCTGGCACTGTGAGGCAGCAGAGCTAACCACTGAGCCACCGTGTTGTCCCAATACAATAACCTGAAATACAAAAACACTCTTCACAGAAATTGTGGTTTATTTGGGAGGTCTTTTGGGGCTTTGGAGGAGATTTTTATGTACTGGTTTAAGTCTGACACTTCTGTGTCAAAGTTACAATGCGATAACAGCACTCCACTTTGAGCTACATTTAAGTTATTTCAGGTGCAGACTTGAAGAGGTGATAATATCACAATAAGGCTGGAAATGGGAAATTCTATAGCGAAAATCTGAAAGGATGTGGACAATTGAAACTAAATGGCAGAACAAGAGGATTTTTATTTTGTACTTATATAGTACCATTTCATAATAAAAATACCCAAGGTCCTTTATAATCCTAGTAATAATAATGTTGTTTTATTCAAAGAAAAGGTTCACTGGCCAAAGGTAGAATTGCAGTGTGACTCACATCAAAAAAAGTCATATGAGACTGAATGTTACCAAAAAATAGCTGACTGTTAATTTTGGTAAATTGTAATTATCCAGAGGGCAGTTAAGAGTCAACCACATTGCTGTGGGTCTGCAGTCACATGTAGGCCAGACCAGGTAAGGATGGCAGTTTCCTTCCCTAAAGGACATTAGTGAACCAGTTGGGTTTTTCCAACAATCGACAATGGATTCATGGTCATCATTAGATTCTTAATTCAAAATATTTATTGAATTCAATTTTCACCATCTGGCCTGGCGTGATTTGAAGCCGGGTCTACAGAACACTATCTGGGTCTCTGGGTTAATAGTCCAGCGATAATACCACCGGGCCATTGCCTCCCTGATTATGAACTTATGATTTATATGGAAGCTGAGACAGGCTGTACTTGGGAGAGTAAGTTATAGGATCTGCCTGGTTAATGGGGGTGCCCATGAGCCTCCCATGTTCCTTTCTACCTTGCACTCTGCATGAAGCCCATCAGTACTGAGCTTCTGCATGTTCTCACACACCATTTTGAATTATGATATCATGTCTCCACATTACCCCAAGCCCTACAGCTCAGTCATTCCAACCAGCGAGCTGCACAGTCCCTCTCTCAAATCCAGGTTGGTTGTGACCATCAATGGCATGCCCCTCCCATAGTAACCCATGTCTTCCTGCACAGTATCATCTACCCCTTCCCCCATCTCACATTCCTGTAGACTATCTCCCCTTCACAAATATTGTCCCCTCTGTAACCCTGCATTCTGTCTGCATAGAATTGATGACCCCAATTTCCCCACCACAGCAGGGCCCCCTGATAATCCCATGTTGTGGAGTTTTAATTTCTGGCAAGTGAAGGGGTTTTCACGCAACTGATACTGAGACCCTGAGCTCACTCTCAATGCACACTTCTATATTCTTGCAAACGGTGGTGGGTGGGTGTGTGTGCACACGCGCGTACGCGCTGAGGGATCTGACTGGGGAAAAAGTCCACTTAATTGGTTATTTTTAAGTATACTTTCCACTTGCCCGCCCCATTTTGTCAGTTTGAATATGTATACCCAAGACTTCCACAATTTTCACCTCCATTAGGGTGAAGTTGCCTAATTAAATGTGACAGACACTGCCCACTGAAGTCTACTCGCATGGCCTTACCATTTCTCTCAACCACTCATTGAGCGGGTTGAGATTTCCTGAATGACCATTGATCACAATCTGCAGCCTTGACTCTGTGATGTTTACAGCATCCAAGTATTTCTAGTATTTGAGGCCACAAGAAGAACACTCTTGTAGGAACCGTATGTAGCTCAGTATCTTATTGAACAGAGGTTTGAGACAGATGACCAAAAGCTTGATCGAAGAGGTAAGTGTTAAAGAGTGTCTTAAAGTAGGTGAAAGCAAGAGAGGTGGAGATGTGTAGGGAGGAAATTCCAGAGGTTCGGGCTTTGCCACCTGAAGGCATGGCCATCAGTAGGTGAGCAATTAAAATTGGAAAGTTCAGTGTTCAAAATTAGAGGAGCACTAATGTCCTGAATTATAGGGGTGGAGGAGGTTACAGAAGTGGGCAGAGACAATGCCACGGAGGGATATGTGAATAATAATGAGAATTTTAAGTTTGATGCGGATAAAGTGTTTCCCATATTTGGAAACCTAGAACCGGGGGCAGAGTTTAAAAATAAAGACAGTATCACTTGGGTCAGAATAGGAGAGTGTCCCTTTTACTCAAAAGTTTGGAAACGTTGGAATTCTCTGCCACAGAGAGCTGTGGAGGCTCAGTCTTTGAATATGTTACAAGTAGAGATTGATAAATTTCTTATACAGAGTTATGAGGATGGGTTGAGTAAAAGTCTTTAAAGTGTATAAACAGCCGTGATTGGATTGAATGGTGGTGCAGATTTACCGGGCTGGATGACCTACTCCTGTTCCTGTGAAGCGATATTTAAGCTTGCTGACTTGCACTAACTGCCAATAGGATGGTGCTGCGAGTTACTACAAGTTTATCGAGGATAGAACGTGCGATACTAGGCAGAAGCCTGTTGGGAATTATTGAGTGAAGAAGGTGGATATAGGCTGTTGTAGTGATGGTGCACATGAATGGGCAGAAGCTCAGATATAATACCAACTGTGTGCTCTGACCATTGCCAGGAATAGGCTGGAGTAAGTGACTAGCAAACGGAGGGGGGGATTGAAGACTGAAGGTTTGTGAACTTTTGGAATTTAGCTTTAGTCACTCCAATGTTTAGTTGGAGAAGATCTCTGCTTATCCAGCAGCGGTGTGGCAGCACCTTCACCACATGGTGGTTCAAAAAGGTGGCTCATAAGCAATGGTATAGAGCAATGGGTATTAAATGGTCGCTGTGCTCACAGTGCTCAGGTTCCAAAAATGAATGCGGAATATAAAAGAATAAATGCAAAAAGTAAAACCAAGGCAAAATAAAAGTGATTTTTCTTTATTATTTCATGAAATGTCAGCCAGCATTTGTTGCTAATTCACATTTTGCCCATGTGAAGATGGTGAGCAGGTGCCTTCTTGAATTGCTGTAGTCTGCTTGGTGTAGATACACTCCAACAGACTACAACATATGTACTGGTAGGAAAGGAGTTACTTGTTTTTGACCCGGCAAATCAAGATGGTATGTGGCTTGGAAGGAAAGCTAAAGATGATACCCAGGTGTCTGCTATTCTTGATTTCTAGAGTTTGCTGGTTTGGAAGGTGTTGTTGGTGGAACCTAGTGAGATGTTGCAGTGTATCATGTGGATAACATGCACTGCTGCCACAGTGTGTCTGGTGGAGGGAGTGAATATTTAAGATGGCAGATGGTGTGCAGGTCAAGTGGATTGCTTTGCTTTTGTTGATATCGAGTGTTGTTGGAGCCTCACCAATCCAGGCAAATGAAGTGTGACTCCTGACACGTGCATTTTAAGTGGCAGTCAGGCTTTGGGGGAGGCAAGAAATGAGTTAGTCTCCACAAAATACTCAGTCTCTAACCTACTTTTTATAGCTGCAGAACATGGCTGGTCCAGCTCAGTTTCTGGTCAATGGGATCGGCAGCAATGTTCCTCCTAACTTTTCCTTTTTGTTAATCATTGCACAAACTTCCCAAGGTCCATATGGAGCAGTGACCTCCACATCTGGACGTCAGTGAGTCAGCATCCCAATTGTCATGTGCGGAACCTCCCAGACAGCTGCAGGTCCACACAGTATAGAAGGAACATTGGCCAACAGGATGATGATAGTGCATGATTCACTGGTGATGCCATTGAAAGGAGCTGGTTAGATTCTCTTTTGTTGGTTGTGGTCATTGTTTGGTACTTGTCAAATGTCATGATTTATGATGAGAGCTGAGGGATAAATTGGAAATATGGGCAGAAAGTATTTTTTAGCTATCGTGCCTTTCTTGTGTGTCCTTCCGACGCTGATTATTAGGATGCAGTTTGTCCCTAGTGATGGTATGAGCATGTTCAGGAGCTAGAACAAGTGGTGGAAGAATGTTACCCCTGTTGGGTGCCAGGCTGGTAGCTCAATGCATTAAGAAAAGGAAGCAGCAAAAGAAAAAAAATACATTTGGAAAGCCAATTGCCAATACCAGGGTAGAACCCTCAGAATAGAACTGCTGTACTAACTTAATGTAGATGGTAAGCATTGTATAGATGTTTATAAATACAAGGAATTTTATTGTAAATATAGTTATTTAAAATATTAATTGTTAATTGCCAAATTATTAACAAATAATTTATTTTTCTTTGTGCTTGATAAAGATGTTACAGGTCTGAAAAAGCGTTTCATTGGAGTGAGGATGCTGACCATAACTCCTGCGTAAGTTTATAAGTTTTATTGCTACTCACTGTCTTTTCAAAATACTTCTGTCTGCACAAAATATCTCCAAAATCATAAAAATGGCTGGATCTGAGAGCAGTTGATGATCCCTTTTAAATATTGCTAGAAACATTTACCTCCCAGCTTCCAGCGCAGAATCAGGAGCTAACATAGAGTGTGTGGCAGAGATCGGAACAGTGTCCAGAGCCCTTTCTACATCATCTGACCCTGATTTGCATTAATCCAGCAGCTCCCTGCTTGTTCTGCTGTGAGATTTGTTGTCCGTTTGTATGAGTGGACAACCGTTTTTATTATGGCAGCTCCACTTCCCACCCAGTTTTGGTCCCAGATGGCTGAGAAATTGGGCAAGCAAGAGAAGCAGTACAACTTGGCAGTATTAGGCCTAGGAAATTTGAATTCTTGGTATGGTCTGCAAGTCGCCGGTCAGTTTTCCACCGGAATAAAGGCGGAAGCGGCAGCTGGCAGGGACCACCAGGATGTGGCAGAGAGGAGGTTTCAAGAAGAACTAGCAATTGGGTGTTAGGGGAGAGGATGGAAGTTGAAACATGCGTTGGTAGGTGTCCTTAATGTTTCTTTATAGGACCAAGTGTTGTTTATCCTGGCCCCATGTTAAAAGTCTAAAGATATTAAAAGATTTACCATTTTTGGCCTCTTCTCATCCTGACCCCTCTTCCTATTACATTGACCTGATGGGAAAGCAACATCAGCTTTCCAAACTGTTTCCATCCACTATTCCTTAAAGTCACAGTCTGCAGGATCAATGTGAACCATTACCAGGAATTCCACCCTGTAATGTGACTACCATCATAGTGCAAATTATTTTCATGTTTGGTATTGTTTACACTCAGTGGAATGATGAATTATGTTAAAAAGATTTCATTTGCATCAGTTTTGAATATTTATTCTGACAACATCTATTAAATTATCTTGACAGAAGACCAAAAAAATGACTTACTAGTTAATCAATTTCTTGTTAAAGGCTGATTTTTTTTTTCTGTTCTTCAGCCTAATTGAAGAACTGAAACAAAGAAACCCTGATTTTCCTGATATAAATGCTGGCATTTATGTACATGAAGTGATTCCAGATTCACCAGCGTTCAGGTAAGTTCTTCCTTTTTCAGTACAATGAGTAAATAACCTTCAATAAAGATCTATAAAATAAATGAATTCAAGAGATTTGCAGAATTGTACAAAATGTAAGGGAATGAAGCTGATTATGTTCTTTCACTTTGCTTTCAGTCCTATGCCAGATGTTTGTGAGCATCTGACAGAATAATCTGAATGCTCTTGGTGACGGTCTTCTGCTCCCTGTTAAACACAATGTAACATCTCCATCAAAGCCATTTTTCCTTATAGATAGCCACAGTACTCATCTTGATAATAGTAGAGTGCAAAACTGCTGGTCTATAGATGATATTGGATACTAATTGAGAGCTTGTCATTTTGTTTTCCAAATCAGGAGCATCATCCTTCTCATGTTGACAGATTGTTATAAAGTTTTGACTCATGCTTATCTTCTGCCTGCAGATAGTTATTTGAGGGAGATAACAACATTGACTGCTCAGTTATGTTTTATTTCAATGTTGTCAAGGCCTAATCTTGTACTATTAATGAGCTTGTACATTTTTGTGCAGGACCAGAAAACCATAGAATGGATATAGCACAGAAGGAGGCCTTTTGGCCCATAGTGCCTCTGCTGTCTCTCTGCAAGAGCAATATAACTCACGGCATTATGCTGCCTTTTCCCCACAGACTTTTTTTTGTTTAGCTAATTAATCAGCTCTCTTTTGAAAGCTGCAATTCAGTTTACCTGCTGCACACCCTCAGGAGTACATCCAAATCCTAATCATTTGCTGCATTTCTTTTCTACATATCCACCAGTCACTTTAAATTAGTCTCCTTTGGCTCTCAATCTTTCTATGAGTGGAACATATTTTCCCAATCTACTACCCTCATGATCTGAAATAGTTCTATCAGATATCATTTCAATTTTCTCCAAGAATAGTCCAAGCTTTTCCAATCTATCTACATAACTTAGGTTCCTCATCCCTGAAACCGTTCTAGTGAAACTTTGCCGGACCCTTTCTAATGCCTTTGTGACCTTGCTAAAGTGTGGTTGCTCAGAACTGGACACTTTACACCAGTTGAGGCCAAACCACTGTTTTATAGAATTTTATCATTACTTCCTTGCTGTTAAATGCACACAGCATTCGCAACAAAGTTGATCATTTGAAGGCACAAATAGAGGTAACAGGATATGATTTCATTGGCATTACGGAAATGTGGTTATATCCAAGGATATTTATCATTTAGCAACAATCTGCAAAAAAGAAAAAGCAGGTGGGTTAGTCCTCTTAATGATGATGAAGATCAGTAGTGAGAGATAATCTTAGATCGTAAAAGCAAGATTTAGGATCTGTTTAGGTGGAGATTAAAAATAACAAGTGATGCACACATCTGTGCAAGTTGTTTGTAGGCCACCAAACAATAATGAATGTTGGGCATAGGCTAAATCAAAAAATGGAGATGTTGGTAATGTGGGTAATACTGTAATAATGGGCACCTTCAAATTACATGTATTCTGGCTAAATCTGATCAGCACCAATGTTTTGGAGGACACATTCCTAGACTGTGCACAAATAGGTTTCTGGAGCAAATGTTGAAGAACCAACTATGGATCAGGCTATTTTAGATTCAGTATTATGTAATGATTAAATTTGTAAAGAAGCCTTTGGGAAGTAATGACCCGTAATGTGATAGAATTAAGTTCAGATTCATATTAAGTATGAATGTACTCAGGTTCATTCTGAAACTAGGTCCTTAAATCAAGACAAGGAAAACTGTGAAGGTACGAGGGGCAAGTTGGCTATGGTGGATTCAGGAAAAGTCACCAAAAGATTTGATGATGGATAGGCAAGGGCTCCTATTTAAATGTGTCAATATACAAATTGGGAGTAGCAGTAGGCCACTCAGCCCCTTCAATCCTTCTTCGCTATACAATAAGATCCTGATCTGATGACTTGACATTTCTGCCTACCCCCAATAACCTTTCACTCCCTTACTTGTCAAGAATCTATCTTGCTCTGCCTCAAAAATATACAAGGAATCTCTTCCATCACCTTTAGAGGAATAGAGTTCCAAAGACTCCAACGCTCGGGAAGAAAATCATTTCTCCTTATGTCTGTCTTAATTAGGTGATCCCTTATTTTTAACAGTGAACCCCTCGATCCACACTAGCCCACAAGAGGGAACATCCAATTTACATACATCCTGTTAAGACCCCTCCGGTTCTTGTGTATTTCAATCTAGTCCATCTTATCCTTCTAAACGCCAGCAGATACAGTGGCCTATCCAACCTTTTCTTATAAGACAACTCACTCATTCTAGGAATGAGTCTAGTAACCTTCTCTGAAATGCTTCCAGTGCATTTACATTTTCTTTAAATAAGGAGACCAGGATGTAGTCTCACCAGCGCCCTGTATAACTGAACCAAAACCTCTTTAATTTTGTGTTTGATTACCCTCACAATAAATGATGACATTCCCTTCATTTTCCTGATTATTTACTGTATGTACATACCTTTATAATTCATATGCTAGAACACCCGCTTCTTCCCAGAGCTCTGCAATTTCTCACCATTTAAACAATATGCTTCTTAATTTATTCTTTCTACCAAAGTAGACAATTTCCCATTTTTCCACATTTTACTCCATTTGCCAGGTCTTTGTCCACTCACTTAACCAATCTCTACTCTTTTGTAGCTACCTTACGTCACCTTCATAACTAAGTTTCCTAAATAGCTTTGCATCATCTGCAAATTTAACGATGATATCTTCACCTCAATCATCTATATGATTTATATAAATTGTAAAAAGTCGAGCTCCAAGCCCTGATCCTGTAGCTATTACATCTTGCATATCAGAAAATAATCCATTTATACCTACTTTTTGTTTAATTTTGGCTAGCTATTCTTCTCTGAGTGCTAATGTGTTGCCCCCAAACCATGAGCTGCTTCTGAGACATTACTTGTGTATTTTCTATAATAAAGACCAATGAAAATTACCTGTTCAATTTATCAGCCATCTCCTTTTGTTTCCGTTATTAATTCCCCAGACTCAATTATTATAGGACCAAATCTTACTTTAACTCTTTTTTTTCACAGAACTATAGAAACTCTTTGGCTATCTGTTTTTAGATATCAAGCTCGTTTTCTCTCATTATCTAACTTTCCATTTTTAAATCATTCTGTACGGGTTCTAATATTATGCCCAAGCTTCTGACCTGCCACCCATTTTTGCATAATTATTTGTTTTATTTAAGCTTTATTCTCTCTTTAGCTCTTTTTAGTAAACATGAACAGAATTTTAGAATTTTTCTTTCCAATTAAAATGAGTCTGTTCTGTGTATTCTGACATGTCCTCTTAAATGTAAGCCATTCCAACTCTAATGACCAATGCCTTGGTCTAATTTTCCAGCTCATTTCAGCTACCTGTGCTTTTATGCCCTCATAATTGCCCTGATTTAACCTTAAAATCCAGAAATTCAGCTAATGTTCTGGCGACCTGGGTTCAAATCCTACCATGACAGATGGTGGAATTTGAGTTCAATAAAGAATCTGGACTCACCTCTCTCCCTCAAACGGTATAAAATTCAATGACATTCTGGTTGCTGCTGTGTAGGGCTACATTTAATATGAGACGATTGTTCTGTCTTGTTGCACAATACCATGTCAAGTATAGCTAGCTGTCTGGTTGGTTCCAGAATGCGCTGGTGTAAGAAAAGGTCTGTTTTTACATTTACTTGGGGACGTGGACATCGCTGGCTAGGCCAGCATTCATTGCCCATCCCAAATTACCCAGAGAGCAGTTAAAAGTTGACCACATTGCTCCATGTCCTGTGGAATCACAGGTAGGCCAGAGCAGGTAGGAATGGTAGATTTCCTTCCCTAAATGACATTCATGTACCAGATGGGTTTTGCCAACAATCAATAATAGTATCATGGTCATTGTTAGTCCCTTAATTCCAGATTCTTTATTGAACTCAAATTCCACCCTCTGTCATGGCAGGATTTGAACCCAGGTTGCCAGAATGTTAGCTGACTTTCTGGATTAATAGTTTAGCAACAATACCACTAGGCCATCACCTCCCCAATCTGATTATCTGGCTGCCGCTGACTTGCCTGTCTTGGGCTCCTCTGCTCATCTGTTACCCTGAGTGTTGTGCTGATTGCCTATCTTAAGTTTTTATCACCAACCTACTCCATCAGTGGCTGGTATCTACTTGTGATGAAATCCTTCTTCACTCACTCATTTAGTCTGCCTGTCTCACGCATGTTCCTCTAAAGTACTACATGCTCCTACACATTCCTCAAAGACACAAAAAAAGGAAAGGGGTATCAATTATTTCTAACAAAAGAATTTGAAGATTGCATCGGGTCAAAGGAAGCGACTAAAGATGATACCAGATAATGTAAGCCTGGGAATTGGGAGCAGTTTAGAACACAGCAAAGGACGATCAAGAAATGGTAAAATGAAAGAAAAGACAACGCAAGAGCAAGTAACCGAGAAGCTAAAGGTGCTGGAGGAGCTTCTTCATGTTTGTGAAAAGGAAATGAATTTATAGCGAAGGACAGGGAAATGGCAGAGAAACTAACAAATTACTTTATGTTTGGGTTCATGGAAGAAGTCACAGAAAATCTCCTAGAAACAATAGGTTACCACGGGATTTGTGAAACTGAAGAACTGAACGATTAGCATTGGTAAAGAAATCATACTTGAAACGTAAATTGGGTTAAGCGTTGAAAAATCATCGAGACCAGATGAGCTACATCCAGAGTGTTGAAGGAGATGGCTAAAGACATACTGGATGCATTGTTGGTTATCTTTCAGCAATCTATAGATTTTGGAAAGGTTTTAGCAAAGTGACAAACAGCAAATGTAATCCCCCAATTCAAGAAGATAAAATATAAAGTCACCCCCTCCTGTTGTCTCATCAGAGAGAGATGGCTGGTGGTGGTTTAACCTGTAGGTCACCACACCTCAAGCAAGGGGAGAGCTTAAGAAGGACGGACCCTGCATGGTAACCTCTCCCAGTGTAGGAAT